TAGTTGGTATCCTGTCTCCTCGTGAAAGCTCAGGATGAGCTTAACCTCCTGTCTCTTCGTGAAAGCTCAGGATGAGCTTAACCTCCTGTCTCTTCGTGAAAGCTCTGGATGAGCTTAACCTCCTGTCTCCTTGTGAAGCTCTGGGAGAGCACCCTCACTGGAACCCTGTCTCTGGTCTGCAGCTCTGGGAGAGCTGTGTCACAGGAAACCAGTCTCAAGTCAGAAGCTCTTGGAAAGCCCAACCTGCTAACCCACCCTGTTGAGCCAACCCGAGGATCCCTACGTGGTTTGAACTTGAAGACTTCTTTGAGGAGTTTCCCTAGTGGTTCCCATGTGGACTATCCCCTGTTGTTCTCTGTTATCCAGCCATCCCCCACTCCCTGCACAGATTCAAGTGAACCAGCCCCAGACCCATTTCAGTCCCAGTGTTAAACTTTGTGATTTTGGACTTTATTAAACATTTTGAACTTTTCCCCTGCCTCCTCCGTGTGTGTTCTGCATCTTGGGCTTGCCTCCGTTAACCCATCATGACAGAGTTAAAGACAATAAAAAAGACTGATAGAAAGGAATGAATCAGAGGAAGAATCAAGGAAGAATGAAACTGTTCAGTTTATTCTGAGAGTTTCACAATGTTAATTCTTTTCATTTCTAAAATTAGTTGTTTTTTTACAGTCTTACATAAAGATTAGTAATTTCATACACATCATCTGTCATTACCAGTCTGTTCTCAGTCATGACTTCAGTGCATAAGTGAAACAAGTCAACGTCACAGGTAAAGTCCTTGAAACTACCTTCTTCTATACATATTTCCAGCTTTGTTAGATTAACAGACTGTAAAAAATGGGGAACCCCATAGAGGTTGGGAACATCATGCATTATTGTAGAACGACCATGAGGAGCCCGAGGATTATTTGTAGACCGTATATGATGGGACAACTTGATCCAGCTCCACCTGTTTGATACAATAAACAGGAGAAAAAAAATAGGAAAAGAGTTGTTAGAAAAAAAGTAATGGTTTTGTATTATTTGTTATTTATTTCAAATCTGGGTACTGAAGGCAAGAAATACATTTATAGTACCTGTATTTTTTGTAGGAAGCAAAACTGGATCAGCGATTTGTCCAGAAAGCTGTCAACAAAATAGCCATCTGCTTTAAGCTGGTTGAAATTGTCCATCCAAAACTGGGCACATTCACTTCTTAAAGTGCACCACCGTCGCTCTATCCTTTGATTTCCTGTACTCTGGCCGAGAATAACAGATTCAAAACCTTTTTTATTCTCATTCTCGTTGTTGTGCAGAAATCTTTGCATCGCTGCCACACAAGTGTTCTCTGTTCCATGATCCATTCGTATATTTTGTGGAAATTTATTGTACTCAATCACAGCATCAATAAAATAGCCAGCAATAATGTGAGGGTCACTGTTAGTCTTATATGCTTCTCCTTTTCCTGTATTTCCTGTAATACTATTATTACCCACCAGATGGAACTAACAGGCTAGCTGGTCCACAGGAACCCTGTTTGGACGTTTGTCGGTAGAAATGTATTAAAATAAATTAAACAAATCCTGTGCGCCTTGGTTGGTGTTATTTCCAGACAACACCCCCCCCCCCCCCCCCCCCCCCCCCCCGACCCCCCATCCACCCCTGCCCTGCGGGTCGGTTGACTACTGCGGTTGTCTAAGGCTGCTGTTGACTAAGGCTGCGGTTGACTAATGCTGCACCCATCGGGGTCAACACACCCTTTTCACAGGAGCACGTGCCTGGGGCACTGATAATATCAGACCATGCAGAACACAGATTTACCTTCACAAAGCCTCAGAAGGGCAAGATTTATGTACAAAGTGTAGTGTGTAGTCTTTCTGGCTATGATATGCACACCTCATAGGATCATCACCATCACACCATCATAGGATGGGCCCAAATAGAAATGATAAACACAGACATGTATGTATGTAGAGGTGTTTTTTTGTTTTTCCTTTTACAGTTGCACATTTCAAGTTTTCCGTTTTCAAGTAGTTACTGAAGATAAATTGTGCCTTCATCAGAAGTGGATTAGAGATATACAGTTAAGTTCACAAGTGTGCCAATTCAATTCAGTTTGGTTCAGGTAGATATTTAATGATGCAGAAAATAACAATCTGATTGAACAATTTATGACTAACTGGATGTGCTCTCTTCATCCTACAAGCAATTAGTGCCTGTTAGACGTTATTCAACACTAAAGTGAGTATAAAATTTAGTTATTTTGGTTACAACAAATGTACGATAATTTCCCTCAACATGTGGTAATTCTCTGCCTCTATAATCCTACATTTTTTTCACCTGGTTACACTGATCTGGCTTTAATGGTCGTTTTTAAGTAGAGGCTGGCTTCACTTCAGCCCAATTTCTCAATAGTCAAGAATCAGACTGAAAATACTCTGGTTGTTTAACAGTCTGATAAAGAGGATGTTCACTGTTTCACATAATGTTCTTCATTTTATGAAGAGTTATTTTTCTGCAGGTGAAAGTGAAACGAAGTCAGGCTGACGAAGGTACTTTTTATCAGTTTGATTAAACGGTATAATAGGGCTCGGGATCCACGTTACATTGTGGGACGTCGCGGTCATATTGACGGCTACGCAAACGTAAACATAGCTCTGATACAACGTTGTTGTTGAAAGAAGAGACGTAGAAGTAGAGAGAGAAAAGATGTCAAAATCCCGAAAAAGATCTGGAATTTACCAGGACACATTAAATAGAGAAGCCATGGACCGGTATGTTGACAAAATCAGCATTATTAATAATTTGGATCCATATGAAGTTCCAAACAATGAGTGGAGCACCGATGAGTGAGCGCCTATACAGTTCCTAAGCTACAAGTCCTTGGAGTCTCATATGCAGTTCATGAATGGATGGGTTCAGGAGCTGCAGATCATAAAGCCAGCAAACAGTGGGAACACAGTAATCCGTACGAAGGTAAACTGTGATCAGACGGGCTCTGGAACCTGCTAGTTTAGTAACTGCTAACCGCTAATGCTAACAACCACTCATGCATGTAATGTACTTTTAACTAGCTGCTATGTGTTTCAAAGGGTGTAGTTAGTAACGTTAACTGCCAACCCTCCGGGTTTCTCACGTATTTGAGCCTTTTCCCGCTGCCGTTTTTATTATTTTCCCGTAAAAGATCCCAACTTTGAAGGAAAGAAACGCTGTAGGCTATAAAATAAAACCGTGCATCTTTAAATTACCAGAATGAAAATGCAGGGAACACACTCTCATTGACATTGAAATACTGTGGAAAGTTATGTTTGGTCGTCTTACAGCCGCGTTCCAAGCTAGCCGACGACTCTTTATCTCTGACGCTTGGTCTCCATGGTTATGCCTCTAGGCAGGAAAGCGGTGGAAAGTTAACCCATTTTCTATGTTTTTCCCATGGCGATCATATGTTGAGCTGTTACTGCCCACAATACAGCAACGATTTAATATGGTTGAAATCAAGTTAAGGTGAAATTAATCAGGCTGAGGAGTACAGTATGCGGTAGTCATAGGCAGTAGTCTGAGCCGCAGTAAAAGAGGCCGTCAATATGGCGGCAATGCAAAGTGCTTACGTCATGACGACCAAGCTCTATTCAACATGGAAAAAACAGAAAAACTGCCGTTTTCTCGTTTTTCTCCTCAGAAAACGATTTGTTTTCCCGTTTTGTGGTTTCTGCACATAAAACCAAAATCCATTAAACGGCTTGATTTTGGTTTTTTCGTTTTTGCCCCCAAAACGGAAACACCAGTCAATTTTCGGTTTCAGAAGTGGGCGTGGCTTTCAAGCCCGCCGGTCCGGTGCCCTTCAAAATAAAGGCATGGCATGGAGAAACTTTCGTTGTATTTCCTGCCCTCATCGTAGCATTTGCTTGTGTTCGAAATTAAAGCAGGTCTTATACATATATAAATATATACATATATTTAGATGTAATATATATTTATATTTTTTATAGCTACAGGGTTTACTCAGAATAAAGTCATCAGAGAGATTTAACTGCGACAGAACAGACATGGTAAATTTGACACTCACGACAGGTATTTTAAATGAACAGCAGATGTCGCTGTGCATCAATGGGACAATTAATCGCAATATCAAGCGTATTTTACAACCTCATAGTCAATAAATGGAACATTTATGAAACGGAGTGCTGTGTGAGGAACTTCATTTTTGTGGCGGTAAAAAATCTGGAATTTTTTTAGAGATATATCTGGGAAAACAGCCAATACAAACAGGAGTGAGGTGAAAAAAATTATCCCTGCATTTCCATGCCTGAGATGTTTGTACCTCTACGGCAAGATAATATTCTTATGTAAATACATACTGATAGGATACTATGCAAACTCAATTTTAACAGTCTTGCCGGGGCTGGGTGATTTGATTCTGCGCTGGCACATCTTCCTGCACTTGAATTCAGATGTGCATAAAGGTACATGTTGATTCGCACTTTTTAGTCGCATATGAGGGGACATGTAACATCAGGGGCTTTGGCTCAGTACCTCATTTGTCCTTGTCCCTTTACAGTCTTTACAAATTAATTCCGTCAGCTCCAACAAAATCTGAGAACGTGAAACTGAGTCTTTGGCATGCGTAATTACGCAGAGTACCCTGTGCAATAGAGATTTGTCTGATCAAGGCAGTGATTGAGGTGACAAGCCTGTCGCTGTGAAAGGGGATGAAAATGATTATAAACGTTAAGAGGTTAGAAGTGATTGGAGTTGAAAAAAAATACTTTTTGTTGCAGTAAATTCTATTAGAATAACTGTCATTCTAATTTTATAAGATTCAGTAAGATCTAGAGTTTTTCAATATTTTTAAGTAATACGTGAATTATATAGTTAGAGTGAGATGTATTTAGGTTTCCTTATACCATTAAATATGAATTATTGTATGTACATACACTTACATTCTAAACAAACTTTACTATGAAAATGCAGGGTTTTGAGACGAACGCACAATGCATGCGCACTGGCTACAACAGGAACGACTTTCTGTGTCCAGACGTCTGAGGATCACAGAGCAACATGTAGCACTTAAGTCATTTCACAGGTAAGTTATTATTGTTCTGTTTTAAATGTTCGATAATAAATCATTATGCATACGTCACCAATCATAAGTTTATCAACTAGCATAGAACGTGGTTTTGTTCTCTGTAAAACAAATGGGGGCGACATGGAAGTAATGTAATTTAATGTATGCTGCGAATTAAGAATGAGGGGGAGAAATAATGAAAATCTTTGAGTAACGCCCTAAATAGGGTTTTAACAAGCGTTTACTGGTGGAAAGAGAACATGCAAACTCCACACCTGAGCAAGAGTCAAACTGTGAGGCATGAGGGCTAACCACTGTCCACCATGCTGGCCATCCAAACTCATAATACATTAGATATATTTTCACCAGTCTGTACCAACATGGGTTAACTGTTTTTTTTAAATCACAGATAAAAAGTTATTTCACTGTTTGTAGGACCTATTTTCTCCTGTGGCCCTTAAGCATTTAACTTTGTTAAGCTGTAACTATGCTTAATGAATAATCTTTAATTAACTAATTTATGTTCCGTTTGAACATGTAAATATAGTTGTACTTGTGAATCTTTTGTTGATTCAGATCAAAGAGGAATTCAGGAGAACAACAACCATTCCAGTGGATCAAACCAGGCAAAAACTTGACAAATACACACGAAAGCTGATGAAAGCCAGGGGAGGAGTTTTGGGGCCCAAGACGAGTTTGCTCCTGGACCGACTGAGTCAGGTGTGCTTGTTTTGCTTGTTTATATGTTTTACAGGGAGATGGACCTACTTTTTTCTGATTCACAGACAGATCAAATTCTTTGGCAATGCAGTAAAGTGTTTCATGTAGATTAACAGGACCATCCCAGTATTTTTCTGTTCTTTGTGCTCTACTAGGGATGTAACAATATTACAATACTACTCTACCTACCTCAATAACAAGCCTGTGACATGTATTGCATTGTAAGACACCATTGATGTATCAGCATTGACGTAACTTATTACTTATATTTATGAAATAAAATAGGATGTCTTGCTGCCCTCAGCTGCCTGTCTGTCCCCACCTCACTGACTAACTTTGCTCCTTCTCCATCGCTCCCTCAGTCACCCACTTCATCTCGCTGTCTCTGATATCTGGTCACACGATCGGTTCAAGACACCCCTAAGTGTTAAACTTCCCTCACATGCTCATTGTGTATTTATAATGCTTATGTTTATGTTCTTAATCTGTTCACAGAAACAGAGCATTGAGGTGAGAAGAGAAGCCATTATCTCCAGCCTTATACTGTACCATGGGAAGAAGGAATATGACTTTTTTAGGACTGCTTGGTAGGTCATGTTTTCAAACATTTAAAAATAATCTTGAACAAGGGGTTCATTTAAAGGGACATAGTGTTTGAAAGTGATTCATAAATGGGTAATTATCGCAGCATGTTACCATTGTGAAATTTCTTTCAGACACTCCGGCTAGGTTTAGGTTTCCTGCTTTATTTTATATAGTTTATAATATTTTAAATTCAAATATTGTATAGAAAGAAAGAAATGCATGGAAACCATCTGTGTTAGACCGCTGTCTCACATCAGATGGGATACCCTCACAGCTCAGGGGAAGAGTTTTGTTTGTTTCTGAGTTTATTAGTTTTTGATTTGATGTTTCTGAAGCGTTAATCTGTAACAATATCTAGTATAAGTCATTTTGCCTTATGTAACTGTGGTGTAAATAATTGTATGCTGAAGTTATTGGCTTGCTACAAGAGTGATTGATTTGTAATGTTTGTATGTTACAGTTTACGATGGCTAAAGCGATGGCAGTGGTCAGAGGCCACTCTTCAATAAACAACTGAAAAGAGAAAGAAGTTTGGTTATTGGAGCGTCGTTGTCTGGCTGTCTAGCCGGCTGAAAAGTTGGGAAAACTCAGGGCGAGGACAGCACAGTGATGTCAGTAACTCTGTTTTCAAAATCTGACAGCTATGAGATTGTCCCAGGATGCATAAGTACAGCGAAAGCTTGTCCACTGCTTATGGGACTGATTTATGCCCTGAACTGTGCATACCCTCCTATTTTGTGCTACACTTTTAAAGTCCTCTAAGAACTCTTGCTGGAGATGGATCAATTTAAACTCTACACAAAAGAAAACACCCTAAAGTGAAAGTTACTGTCATGATTCTGTCTTCCTAGAGGAGGAAAATATTTCTGTAATGAATGTTTTAACTCTGACAGTGTTGTAAACTTTTCACTACATATTTAAAAAACACTGCTCCAGTTTGAATGTAAAATTTATCACTGCCCCATAAAGACATTTAGAAATTGAATTCACACTAATAGTGGAGTTACTTATTTGTGAAGCCGTTTCTTTTATGCATAGAGTATTGCTTCATTTTATTTGTAAACGTTTATCCAGAGACAACTGGCATCAAATATATTGTTTTAGTGCGTAGTTTAACATAATGCAAAAAGTCAAAAATGTTTACTTTAATTTCATGTCATAATTACATGAATTGCCTTGAAACCTTAATGGCACATTACTTAATTATGTACAAAAACTAGAAATATGGTATGTTCTATTGTAAACTTTAAGCTATTGCCTTATGTAACTAGTTTTTACATTTCATTCTGTTGGGATCCATGGTTTGCCCTCCAGAGGGCGGTGTGGATCCTATTCTGTGGGCTTCTGTTTCTGTTTGGATCCAGGGGTTTGCCCTCCAGAGGGCGATATGGATCCTTCCCTGGGAGCTGCTGTTCAGCACTCACACCTGACCCCAATCAGCTCTGCTGATTAAGCTCTACCTATTTAAGCTGAGGGAGAGCTTCCCTCTGGGCCGGATCGTAGCCTTGTGTTTCCTAGCCATTATTCCCAAGCCATGTGTGCCCTGTACGGTCATAGCTTCTCCATGCTATGCCCGTTTCTGACGCAGGGACTCTGCTGAACTCAACTTGTCTGAACCAGCGAACCCGTGAGTTTTCAGTTTAGTTTTGATCCCTGAGTTTAACCTGTTTTCTGTCCTCTCTGCCTTCCAGGGCAGATTACCGGTGTTCTTAAATAAATATTGGACTGATCCTTCCTCTGAGTCTGTGAGTTCTGCATCCTTGGGCTAGCACACCAACCACAAATCATGACACATTCCACTTTAATAAAACTTTGTCTTAAATAATGCTGTGAAGTTATTGAAATGTCAGCCTATGTTTCAGCTTGAATAAGTTTGAGGTATTTAAAAAACATTTTTGCCTTTCTAAATAACTTTAACCTGGGCATCTTTTTACCTGTATGGGAGGTCTTTGAACTCCAGAAATAATATGACTTCTCTGCAACTGTCAGGAGAGAGAACTATACTGTCATTTAGTAAAATAATAAATTTTGTTTTGCCATTAAATTTGGTAATTGTTAGTGCACCATCTCAACGACTGTTTGATCATGAGCTATTCTAATGTTACAACACACTGGTGGTGAACGCTTAATTGTCCCTTCAGTGGTGTAGAGAGGGTGTAAATAGTTCTTCACTTACAGCAGCTTGTGCACCATCCTATCTAGACTCGGCTCTAACATCCAGAGCTATTCACAGCACAGAGCCAGTTTCTTCAAGTCTATGTTTCTGCTGCACCAGCAGAACCGTCTACGTAAAAAGTTCTACAAGGCATTGCTCATCCTTTTTTGCATTGTGTTCTGTTTTCTTTAAAAGGGATAAACACTAGAGTTATGTTTGAATGACTTCAAAACAAAATAGGAAGCACAATTCTGTCATGAGGGGTTTAAGTGAATTAACTCACATGCAGAACACCACAAGAGACTGAATAAAAGTTCAATAATTTATTTAGAGAAATACACAAGAGTATGAATGAGCAGGTTCTGGTACTGGTCCGGGACAGGAATCATAGAGTAATCTGCAGAGATGAATAGTTTGGTTAGCCAGGCAGCGGTGATGACCTGTCAGGGGTTTGATTCTGGTTTGTACCTTGATGAGGTTCAGACTGATCGATGGAGAGAGGGAACCAGTTGGGTCCAGAGACGAGGTTCAGACCTTGAGTTGATTTCCTAGTCCTCCCTTGAGAACTAGCTGGGGAATTCAGACTGATTGTCTTCAGGTTTGGCTTCCTTGGGCAGGCAGGCAGGTTTCCAAGCAAAGCTCCTCCAGAGCTACAGACTTCAGTCGGGCTTTCCTGTGAGCAGAGAAGACAGAAGCTGGTTAGAATCTAGTTACTCTCTAGAGCAGACAGAGATTCTCAAAGTTAACAGAGGCTCAGGTTCCGCTAACCAAAACTGGTCAACACTCCGGCACCGAATACAGGTCTGGCTGCTGCTTAAGTAGGAGGTCTCCTGATGGGCTGATGATCCTCAGGTGTGCTGGAGGCTCCAGCCCAGGAGACCCACAGCGCTCTCTGCTGGAGACAGGTGGCAGATCTCCAGATCCCAACAAATTCAGACAAAAATACAATATGAAACATAAACCAATTTAATAGCTGTACTGATCCAACAAAAAAACAAAAACAAGTAGTTAGCCAAAAATTTTAACATATTGAACATGAACCAATCGAATAATAAAAAACATAATACATTAACATGAAATTTTAAGTATTTACTCAATTAACTTCAGGCAATTAAGTGCTTCTGAGAGTCCTGCTACTTTTGTGTAGCTTGGTAGGTCATCTCTACGCTTGAGGCACTGATCAGAGTTGTTCCTCCACTCCTGAACACACTCCGCACATCCCACCAGGCTCCGACAGCAGGAGTAAACATGGGGCGAGTCATAACAGCTGAAAAAGGACAGATCAGTTAAATACATTCTGCATAGGATGCAGTTCTTCCAGGCTATGCATCTTAACAAAAACTTTATTCCACTATCATAAATGTACAACAGAAAGCACCTTGAGTGCCCCAGTGTGGTGAATGGGCCGAACTTATGAAACACTTTTCCAGTCAAACTGAAAACTCAAAGCTGTACACTGGAGCTACTTTCTCCCAATTGCACTGAACAACAAGCACACATCCATAAACCGATATGCAGGACGGCAAGCAACTCGGAGTTCAGTGTCTCGCACAGGGATCCATAAACATGTGAAAGCGAGAGGCTGTAATCGAACACACATCCTTCATCAACTACTCAAACCATTGAGCCACAGTCACGGCATTGTCCATTGTGTCTTAGGTTACTTTTTTGGTCAAAATTAAAGAACAAACTCAAAACAATTTGCAATACTGACATGTTATGCATAGGTGACCAATATGTAAACACGCATAATGGAAACATTACCTCTGCAGATCAAACAGACAAAGGCCTGTTTTATTTCTGGCCAAACTGGAGACAGGTTCCGGCTCAGGGTCACAAGATTATGAATATTGCTGGTAACCTCTTCTAGCCCTTCAGATGCCTCCAGCAGTTCCTCCACTTGTTTTTTTCACTTCTTCATTTCTGCATTTGGCACATTGAGCATTGGATTAGCAAATTAAAAAAGACTTATGAGAAGTATGCAGCTGCAATCTTTTTTGCCTGATAATATTGTTAAAAGGGCTATGACAAGTGATGTTTGTGTCAGAATAAAAACGGAGAAATAATGACCATTCATGATTTGGTTTGACTTAATAGTAGTTGGAATCAAATTCTCCAAAAAGTCAACTGGTTACAGTATACCAGCAAGAAATCAAAGCATAGATTTTGACAGTGTCAGGTCAACATCTCACTTTAATTTGTTGTATGTTTGGATTTAACTGCTGGCTCCATTCATCCGACTCAGAATTTGGTTAATGAATATGTAATAGCCACATTCTACCATAGGATGGCGTGTCCTGGAATACGAGTACTCTTGTGCCCTGCCAAATCTTCAGATCAGTGATGGAAAGTTTGGCTCAGTTCCCAAATAGCTTGCTTGATCCCTAAAGCACTCTCAATTTTGCAGTATCTTTTGTAGCCTTAACTGTTATGTTAACTTTACAAAAAATAACTGCTAATCTTTTACCACTCAAATCAGTAGTTCTTGATGATACTTATATATTTTCGTTATTTATGCTTTATTTAAACTGCAGCCAAATGCTGTTTTATTTTATGTTTTTACATTCTGCAAAGCATTGCAATCACCGTGGTGTCTTTAATTGCAGTAGCAAATTTTCCCTCCATTTTTTAGTGAATAGTAAAAGCCTATTTCATAAACTTTTATGCTTTGCATGGCCTACATACTGGTAAAAATAAAATTTTGCCAAATTCTATTGAAACCTTGGAGATCGCTCTTTAGATTTACTTCAAAGCATCGGCTCTTAGAGCCAGCAACAGCTGAAGTCTAAACCGTTGTAGTGGGTGTAGTGTGCTTAGAGATATTAAAGGAATAGTACACCCAAAACATGATTAGCCTTCATTTTCTACTCACCCCAATGCTGAACAACACTCTGGAGTACTTTTTTGATATCTCAAATGCATCTGGAGATCTAGGAGGCTTCTTGCTGTCTGCTGACATTCAAATAATGGAGGTCTACGGTGCCCGAGGCAGAAAGGTCCATAAAAGTCCACAAAAAACCTGTCAATATTCCTCCATACTGGTCGTCCAATGTATTCCAAGTGTCCTGAGTGGGTAGCATCCAGAATTTACTCGAAACGAAGTCTTTTAGAATGTTTTTAGAGCATAAACAGTAGTGTATAGGATTTCCTAAAAGCGCGTTCACGAGTCTACGGAAACCGCGGCAGACCAAACCAGAAGAAAGTGCGCATTCAGCTCAGCAAAGAACTCATGCTCTTCCTCAACACTGAAGTCCTCAGACATATTTCTTTCGTTGTTTCTTTCTTTGCACAGGTAAACAGCACATTTCTTCTTCTACGCTTGCATTATCGGCAGAGCAGACGCTGAATGCGCACTTTCGACATTAACTTTTTTTGTTTTTCCTTCTGCATGTTCCCCCTTGGTGGCTGGAACGACATAATCCCCATATCAACTGGGCTGAACGCCACATTGAGTCCTGGTCCACTCCCTGTCATGAGACATGTCTTCGTTCTGCAGCTCCCG